CAGACAATTTTCCCATTTTTCACATAAACCAACGTCTACGAAAAGGATAAAATATAAACAATTCAGGTGAAAGGTCGAAGACAAAGTGGGCAAAAAAGGGATTATAAACAACTATAATCGATTATAATTGATTCTTTCTGCATAACATTTAAGTTAGAATTTCCGATGAAAATAATCGATTATAATCGATTATAATTTTTTATAATTGATGATACTCAATTTCAAAAAGAGAGATTATAATCGATTATAATTGATTAAAATCAATTTTTTCACAATTTTTGTAAGACTGGTACTAAAATCAAATAATAATTGTTTATTAAGGCTTGAAACTGGATGCTAGTACTCGTTGGTCACGTAACAACCTACATTAGATTGAAAGACGTAAGGGAATCAACTATTATGCAACTATACACACCAAAATGAACAAATTTGAAATTATAAACGTGTTTTTCTCAAATTGGGTGAAGAATAAGATTAGACAAAAATAAGAGAACAAAAGTTTCTAAGAATTTCACCAGAATTAAAATGATGCAATTTTTTCCCGAATTTTTGTTACAAAATTCAACCATAAAAGTAGGTCATTTTGCTTTTTTTAGACAATCAATATTTACGCTAAAATTACCGAGTAACCTCTTAAGAAAGTTGTATTAAAAGAAGCCTCCTACACAGCGCAAACGATATTTACAAGGGGTTAAACTTTCAAAACTTGCGTAAAACGTTTGAATATTTTTAGCCCAAGATTTTGATTTGTATATAGTGAAAATGACCTTTTTGATTATCAACTAAAAAATATAATTTCTAACAAAGATTTTTATAAGTTTTATCCTTCTAAAACTGTGTTGGACTAAGTAAAAGGCTTCTTTTGATATAAATTTCACATCAGATAATTTTTTTGGGTTGAAAATTCGGTTCAGAATTTCGGGAAAGAATTGCACTATTAATTCCTGTGAAATTCTTAAGAAACTTTTGATCTCTTCACTTTTTGTCTAAATTTAACCCAATTTGAGAGAAACGCGTTTGAAATTTCGTTTTTTCCGAATAATTTAAATCAGCACTGTACTTTTTATTTACTCATGTCGTGTATATATACATAATGATATTCCAAGCTCTCTTAAAGCGCAAAAAGACTTCTTTTTTGAAAAATTTCTGCGCCTCACAATCTTCTGCGCCAAAAAAAATCATGGTAAAAAATTGTGCCATTAATTATGCCAGAAGAAATAGCATTTTTGAAATCTTTTGTGCAAAAAATAACGTGTGTCAGTTCAAACCGTTGTCAGCCAGCCCTCAGCTTTCCTTCATAATGAGGTCCCCTGGCCTTTAGATCATTCAACCAATTATGGTATGTATTAAAATAGCGGCAAAATGATACCCTTTACGGAACTTTCGCCCTACACTAAAAACGCTAATAAACTGTATTTCATTCGCTCAGTACTCACATTGAAGGGAATGCCGTGTGGTTAAATTGTCTGCTTCTAAGCTCTAAGCTGTCTGCTTCTTCTGCTGCAAATTGTCTGCTTCTACGCGTTACAGAAAGCAGCAAGGAGACCAAAATATTCTAACGAAACTGAACGGAGTCATCGATTAACAAAATATAGACGGGATTTCCCTTCTTGGTTGACAATCACTTGACAGGGAGTTGATTAAAAACTTCAGATAGCTAAACATCGTCATAAAAATAATGGCATCGTATAAATAGAAGTTGCTTAGATTATGAAAAGATTACGAAGAAAAAATATGCATTTATTTTGTTGATTGATGAGACGGCGAACTTTGCTCTCAGCTTGAAAAAATTACAAACGACAATTGATGCCCATTCTTCATCAGCAAAATGACAATGTTTGCTTATGATTTATCTAACCCGGCGCAGATCCAAGGTTTTTGGGGAACCCCTAATTCGACGTTTTTTTAAATATTTTTTGGAACAATTTTTACCAAAAATTGGGTTGTTTGGAGCGCGATTTTTCCGTCAGTTTAGATATTTCTTGGCGAACAACTTTTTAAATTTGGTTCAAAGGTTTCAAAGGTATCAAATGTCCAATGATTTTTTTTGATACCTGTTTTACGTGGAAAAACATTAACAGTCGAAGACAAAATTTTCCGTCTTTTAAATGGTCGCAACAATGAAAAAGGTGTGACTAGCGTTTTAAACAGCGGAAGAAATACCACAGAATTTTGTTCCAACCTTGAAGGGGATAAGAACTGTCTTTTGTGCTTCTTTTCTGCTGGACCAAAGTTAAAATAATCCTCCAAGTCCTCCCCCATCCCCCCCCCCCCCGCTAGGTTAATTTGGTTCTGGGAATTTCAGCCAATAAGAAATGAGCATTTTACATGCAGCGCTTAGTAAATTTAATGAAATGCTGGGGTGGAAGGGAAGATATTAATTGGTCTATTTTGGGGGGATGTTAAGTTGATCCTTTCTTCTTACTTTTAAAAAAAATTTTCCTCGCACACATCATTGACAGATTCGAGAAAAACACGCCAGACTTAAAGTTTTTTATCTAATTTAGAGAGAATAAAAGGAGCAAGAAGAGCTAAATGTTGTCATCTAAAAGAGTAGAAAAAATAAGCTTTCAGTTCTTAAAAAAAACTAACTTTGATGCCTGTTTTAGCGCTTCCAGGAACTAAAAGCTGTAAAAAAGTACAGTGCATCTGAAAAAGCAGAAAAAAGCATTATTGCTTTGATTATTTTAAGCGCTTTCATTAGATGTCTAATTTTCATAACGAACCTTTCAAGACCGAGGGGAGTTGAGGTTGAGCCTCAATTAAAAACCTTGACTATGAATCGGGCAACGATCTAAATCACATCGTTATCCCGCTCTTATTAACGAAAAAATTAAGATGAAAAGATGCTTTGATACTTTGCTTTAAACAAGCTTCAGACAAACATGTATGATTGTTTTAAGCCTTAGTTTAGAAAGGATGGAAAACGTGCGTCATTGCGTCATTAAAAAAGATGATTGTGAAAGTCAAAATCCGAAAATGTGGGAGACAAGCTTCGAAGAAAGTTGATTTCGCGTCACTATTTTTAAGAGTATTTTATGTTGATTTCAAGTTGTTGATTTAAATCAAATGTCATAAAAGTATTGATACAGCTACCATCAAAATTTAAATATCCCAAGCAGTAGTGGAAATAGTGGGGAGAGAGGGTGGACGCCTCCTCCCCCTCAGGGATTCGACCCCCTGCCGACCCAAAGGGTCCCCCTCTGTACTATTTTGAGACAACCATTTTTGGCTGACTGACCCTAAAACTGGCCTGTTTTTTCAAAAATTTGGTCGATATGGGGTCTTTATAGTGATTTGGGAGCGCTCAGAAAATCTATTTGGTCGACCTAAAAAAAGGTCGACAAAATTTTCATTTTTTTTTTGAAAATCCGCCCCCCTCGAGAAAATCTTAGATCCGCGCCTGATCCCATGAATGATTTATGATTTTTGCATCCCATGTTAGGGGGAGAAACAAGAAATATATAGACGAAATGGGCAATTTGTTTTAAAAAAATATCGGTTGAAATTTTTGAAAGGTGTTTTGAGAATACTCAGATCTTCGTGAGTTAATTTAAGTGAGCTTTAAAACAAGACTGCTTGTATATCAGGGCAAAGCCTGAATGTTTTGACTGCCCCCTAATCTATATCGAGTAATTCTGTGGGAAAAACATTAAAGAACTACAAAATTTTGGGCAATATCAAAGATCAAGCGCAAAAAATTGAGTAGGACGAAAATAAGACGACCACGTAGGTAGCCTCAATTAAAATTGGAACAATTTTGTTGTGCGGGATAGTTCGCCATGCATGATTAAATTTGGATACGTTTTCAGGACTATGGATAAAATCTTTAAAGTGTGCTTAAATTAGTCAAGAGCATAGCCAAATTGGCAATTCTTAAATTCCTACAACTTTGCAAAAAATGACCAGAGCTATAAAATGTTTTTAAATTTAATTTTAGGAAATCGATATCTTCAATGAGCACAAACTTTTACCCGCACTGGTGTTTCTTGGTAAATAAGCGATTATCATGGATTATACCGGCAAAAAATTTAACCCATATAATCGGTTTTCATGACCCATACAGCCACGGACATGGATTTTTAGGGGAGTATAATCGATTGTTTTCAATGTTTAAGCATCCATTATAGTCTAGTATTTTGACAATATAATCAACTTTATAGTCCACAAAAATTCATGAAAAACATTTTTTTTCTGCAAAAAATTCTTAATAACTGATTAAACTCTTAAAACGACGTTTGGATGAAATTTTTGCACATTTTCAATTAATAAAGTATCTGCAGACAACAAAATATATTATAAAGTCAACATTTCTGTAAATTTAGAACGCGAACGAAAATGTTCGGCTATCGGCTCCGCTTTCGTAATTGCCCTTCTATTAAAAAACTCAAAATTGTTTAGCGCCATTCCCCCACCCCGCCCCCACTCTCTGTCAACCCCACCTCCCCCCCTTATTCTCAGCTTACCGCCCCCACTTCCACTTTTTACCTTCAAAAAAAGGTGAGAGTCCTAGGTGAATGGCGGTTTTTACTATGGCGATGGTAAAACAACAACAGTTAAAAAAAAGTTGAACTGCGGAATTGCTAAAATAGAGAAACTTAAGTAAATAAAATCATATGTAAACCTAAAGAATTTATCAAACGCAATCCGTAGCAACTGTACTAAACAGGAAATGAGATAACTTTCAAACTTTGCAAAGTTTGTAAAATTCATCAATATTCTCTCAAAAGACTCACTATAATCGGTTATATTCGATTAGTAATGGATTATTTTAATATAAAAACATTATGATTATAATCCATTCTTAATGGGCTACAAAAAATTGTTTTTGTAATTTTATAGATACTGACTATAAAATGACAATATAATGGAGTTTTATCCATGAAACTCCATGCGGGTGAAATCTATTATTTCGATCGCCAAAAATTGAAGGAATAAAAAACCACACCAATGAGCAGAAATATTCGAAAGTGGGAACAATTAAGAGAAGTAATTCTTACCAGTTCGCTTGCTAATGTTGCAGCCTACAAGGATAAATTTAACCTATTCCAGTAGTTTTTTTCTCTTTGTTGAGTTTACTCTAGTTTTACGAAAGACGGCCTTTGAATTTCAAAGTGGCTAATTCAGGGGGCGGGGCAAAAGCTAAACGAATCTTACTGGTAATAGGAGTCGCGGAATTTTAACAAGCTTTGATTAAAAAAAAGTAGATCAGCTGACAAAAAGTGCTGAAAGTTTGAGTGTAAATCTAATTGGGCTTAATCCTGGCAGTAGTACATTTGGACAATATTTTAATGGCATTGACTTAGGCAAATTTCTAAATCGGGATGAATGTAAAATAACATGAACCTTTAATGGGGAAATTAGTGAAGATTTGAGACGAGGAGAGACTGAGATTATTCCAATTAAAGTTGCATTGAATTGAGTAAACCGGAATCAGAGTTGTGGAAATGCTATAATTGAAACTAAAAAGTAGTTATAAGGCGACAAAGGAGAGCTTGTTTTTCTACTAAAAAATATCGGAAGTAAGAAAAAAGATATTCAAAATAAAAAATGTCAATTTGTTCCTTTAATATCTTTTTAAGAAGTGTTTCCTTTTTGGCACTCACAAAAGTGATAAAATTACTTTCATTCAAGAAGCCTATCAAAAATATTCAAATTGAAGCAAAATGATTCGAGTATTTCTAAAAAGAGGGAACTTCAAAAGGAGCGGCCCGCGCTCAAGATTTTTTCTTCATACTTTTAAATTAGAAACTGCGCGCAAATAAAGCTTTGCTAGAGCCAATTGAGATCAAAATTCTGCCCAAGAAGATTGCCGCTGACGTCAACAAAAAGGTTTCAATGGAAAATTTGACGGAAATTTTTGAAGCGTACTCCATAGCTCTATTCACTAAAAATACGCAATCGAGCACGCTTCAAAAAATTCCGTCAAATTTTTCCATTAGAACGATTTTTACCAACGTCAGAAACAATATTGTAAAGCAGAATTTTGATTTCTGAATATGATTAGTACTTCGCTAAGAAAATTTTGTAGTTGTTGCAAACGAAGGTTGAAAAGTTGTTGATTTGAAATGAGCTACGGGCTTTGATCGAGATTTGAAGCTTCAAAACATAGCTGGGCGTCAAAGTCACTTCTGGCTAACGTATGTCAGTAAGCAGCAGATTTCGAAACTTATGACAGTACGGATCATATGATTGAAAATAGTGGAAATGTCCGCACCTTTTGAGTTTGAATGTCTGATCCAGTTTACAGAAACTTCTACGGCTGGTGGTTTAGAAGGCGACCGGCTTAAAGCATGGGAATACATTTCGCTAGTCCAGAGTAAATCAAACAGCCCTGAGGGTTCGAGAACTGGAAATTGACCAGATATTCAAAATTTCTACGAAAATAGACTTTAAGTCACGAGTTTTTTTGGCACTGGTCTTGGATTTTATCGATTTCATAATTGAATTCAATTCAATTCCCCGAAAAGACGAAAATAGCGAGAAGCTGAAAATTCATGTATTTTCCCTGAATGACTTCAAATTCGAATTCTAATCATTGCAACTCTTCATTTTTGAAACGATATTCCTTAAATATCATAGATCAGTGTTGTCTTATTTTTTTTACTTTGGTACTCTAGCACCGAAGGCTACAAGGGGTGGTGATTAGAGGAAGTATAAACTCTAATGCCCCCTGTGTACTTTATCATACTCAAGTTCACCGCGCTGATATGATAAATTTCACCTAAGGTCATTTAAAACAAGTTTTACATAAAATAGAGCCCATATCTCGAATGATTGTCTGGAATTACAATTGAGGCGTCTTCGGTGAAAAAAAATATAAGTGCAATATATTATGAATTGGACCCAATATTTTTATAGTGCTTAATTGATCGACAGACAAAAAGCCTACTTTTTTGGTAGCTATTATTTTCTGCTATTGTATTTATGTAAAAACAATGAACATGCTGTGATATCGTTCTAACATTGACCGCAAAGTCAGCGTCTCACTGATTAGGTCACATACATTCGTTTTTTTTTGCTTGCGAAGTAATAAACTGAATCTAATTTTATCTTGATAGTAGTATGAGGGGCCGCCAGGGATCATTAGGGGGGGGGGGGCAAAATCACCTAAAATAAGACGTGGGCGCCTAAGATCCGACACCTAAGGGGTCCTAAATTATCTTGTAGTCAGCCGGCATTTTGCTGGTGGATTACAAGATCCTCACTTGAGGATCCAAATTTTTGGGTGGCCTCCCCCCTGAGGATTTTACCAAGAGTCATATACCAATGTAGCAAATTTCTAGATCCCTGGCGGATAATCAAAGTAGGATCCTTAAAAAATTTTTCATCCGATTTATGTTTGGAAAATAGCATAAATGTTTAGAAAATAGCTCTTTGGGAAGAATGAAATAACTCAAACGCCTCTAGTTAGTTTTGGTGTTAAGATAACGAAGCTTTCATTTTCATCAAAGTTAACCGAGTCATTGTGACCTTCTTAGGCTCGCTCCATTTTTTTTAGTTAAGGTTTTATAGTGTCTATATATTTGTTACGCTTTCGATAAGCAAGCCTTATCAAATTAGAACATCGACTTCTATCAGTTTAATATAACTATTTGCCTAACAGCATCACTGTATAACTTGTGCTAACATGCTCAATTTCTGAAAGTTTTGAGAAGAGTCCAATTTCGGAACAAGACAACTACTTTTTTCTCGACAACTTTCTTTTTTTTAGTTGTAAAATTTCGAAGTTCCATTTTGTATAATCAGTATTATTTTATTTCATTTTCAGTTTTGTTTTTCTCGCTTTAAGTGGCTTCAAAAGTTTCGACTCATTTTATATTGGCTTTAATTCTCATATTGCATCATTTGACGTGCTAAAATGTTTTTTGGAGTGCTTGTCGACCCAAGCTTTATCGGCTCAGTAACCATTGAGTAAGTATTGCGTCGATGCTAATTTCACCTCTGTAATTGTCATCCTTGTAATTTTTGCTCAAAATGAACTTCCTTGATGAAAATCGAGACGAACTTATTTTGGTAGATTAGTTTTTGTCGACATTGTTTTCAAACGTTTTTTTATCTCATGAGCTTTCGTCCCATGATCTGTCGGCCAGCTCGGCATGATAAGTTTGAGTTATTTTGCAGTTGATGCAAAGCTCCGCTTCGCCTCTGTGCGATAGATATCTGATTTTTTCATTTCAACTAGCCTTGAATTGATGGCGATGAAGTCGCGACAGAAAACTAAAGGAATAGGCTCCCATTAACATGAGCTGTAATTCATGTCGATATAGCTGTGTTTCAAGAACAACCTAATCTCAACATATACTTTGCAGGAGGCGTCGCTTGTTGAGGGATCTAAAGTGTATGACGAATGGCAGGCGCCGGACCACCCAATCTACATGAAGTTCACCATGTTCTCCTTCAACAACTCAGACGAATTCGTCAATGGCACGGATGATAGGCCATCGGTACAGCAAGTTGGAGTGCTCTCTTACAGGTGCGTCTGTTGATTTGTACAATTAAGTGTCAATGATTAAAGTGAAGGCACTCCTATTGGTCATTTTGATTTTTTTTTCAGGAAAAATCCTTAAAAGTTGGTCACTAAAAACAGATTTTTCGCGTCTTAATTGTTGCTTTTTTTCTCATTCAATTTCAAACTCATTTCAAAATTCCCTGCGAAGTTACAAATGTATCTCATGCTAACTTTTTTTGTAGGTTTTGACCCTTTAGTAGTATGAGGGGCCGCCAGGGATCCTTAGGGGGGAGGGTCAAAATCACCTAAAATAAGACGTGGGCGCCTAAGATCCGACACCTAAGGGGTCAAAAATTATCTTGTAGTCGGCCGGCAATTTGCTGGTGGATTACAAGATCCTCACTTGAGGATCCAAATTTTTGGGTGGCCTCCCCCCTGAGGATTTTACCAAAAGTCATATACCCATGTAGCAAATTTCTAGATCCCTGGCGGATAATCAAAGTAGGATCCTTAAAAATTTTTTCACCCGATTTATGTTTAGAAAATAGCATAAATTAGCATTCTTTCGCCCTTTGGTTTGTTCGACTTGGAATGCTGCCGTACTTTTGGAGTGGGTAATAAAACAAAGCAAGCATAGCTTTGGCCAGCATAGTTTTAACGGTCTATTGAATGCTGTAGAGTGTTTCCATGATTTAAATGTATTAACACTGAAACGTATGTAAACCATAATTACTCACCAAGGTTGCATTCCGGTTGCAGTCGTCGCTGTTACGTCTAGACGATAACGCAAAAGTAAATAATGGTAACATTGTGGAATAATGAATTTCGAAAAATGAACTTAATGGGAAGTGTGGCATACAAGTGACATTGATTCGGAGCATTTATCTTTCACTGTTTTTTCAATTGGGTCTCAAATAAAAAACGAATACATTCACAATCATCACACAGTTTTCGTGTCGAGAGACAAAAAAAATTGCAAATAAAGAATATGCAGAAAATTGTAAAGAACAGTTTTATCTGGATGAGCTTTTACAAATAACGTGGTGTATTTATGCAAAACAGAAATATGGAAAAGCAACTAATTTGACCTTTGCTACCTATGAAAATATCTTTGATTATTCATTTGATTTCAACTCAATGTTGATTGAGAAAGGACCGGAGCGAAAAAATACGACTTTGTTTTAATAAACTTTCAAAGTATCAAAAACTTCCGGTAGTTTATCTAAATATATACCATCGAGATATAGGTCTAAGTAAGTAATACCTGGAAGGTTACTTTCATTTTCATTGGCTTGAAATTAAGCAAGTCGGAGAAGTGTTAGCAAAAATTAAAAATGAAATTGGAAAAACGAACTGTAACTTCAACGGTCTTGGAAATTATCCATGAGATATTTATTACTTTGAAAAAAACGTATCCAGAAAACACCAACCGTCGGAATTATTTCTTAGCTGCATGTTCCTTATTCTTCTTCTCGACTACTAACGATATAAACTGCGATGTTGCTATCAAGCTGAGACCTTATGGTGGACTAATCGGGATAGAAAATTCTTCGTTAGACAAATATTTAAGTGATTCAAAAATTCTACGAATGCATGCTGTTTTACATGATGCCGCCGGTTTTGTTCGTGAAGTTTACAATACTGGTCCCACATACTGCTATGTTTTACCGTGGAAATGTAACAACAGCCTGCTTGGTCACTTGAGCGGTATCACGTTTTGTTCATTAATCAAATTGAGGAAACCAAAACTCTATCATTTGTTAGAATGCTGAGTGAAAGATCAGTTGTGTTGGATTTGGAAGGATTTCGATACAAGAAAAACACTTTTATTTTAAAAGAATTAGCAATCACAACCGCTGACTACAGCGACTCCCTAATTTTTCTACCACCAGTCAGTTTTAATTCCCTTCCAAAACTCGAGCAAAAAGCCTACAGCTGGCTAACGAATTACTTGCATGGACTTCATTGGGATAGTGGTGATTACTTATCTTTAAATCTCAACCAAATTATCCAAAATGTTGTATTGAGGAATCCCGGAGCTACATTCTACGCTAAGGGAAAGGAAAAGGCAGACTTCCTAGCCCAATATTTAGACCGCAGAGTAGAGAATCTTGATGATTTGGGTTGTCCAAGAGTTGAAAACTTACATTACAAGAAATTTTCGAGCTGCTGCAAACATATACCTCATTACAACTCCAAAAATCATTGTGCTCTAAAAAAAATCCAAAGTTTTTTTTGATTGGTTGAAAAATAATGACGATGATCAACACGGAGAGATTAGCCAAAGTGGAGACATATCTATCTCCAAATTCAGTTCTTTGTGCTTGGATGACCCCAGAGAGTGATATTAAAATTTCATTGACCCGAATAGAGCGCGTTGACTGTAGAGGCCAAATTGTGCAACGAAAAGAGCAAGTTGTTCTATCTGAAGAAGAATTGACTACTCTGCGATTGATCAGTTCATCTATTTCCAGCGATTCAAATATATTGGAAATGTTAGCCGGCAAGCGAGGAGTCTGCCTTCTCAAGCTAGTCTTAGTACCCAAATATCGTCAACCCGGAGTTCAATTGGATCTAACCAGCAGTGAGCTACCCAAAGAAATTCAACAGAAAGTGAAAGAGGACTCTGTGAAAAAAATTATGTTTCATGCAAAAACTGAAAATGTTCCTGCTAACTATGTTTTGCAAATGTATGATGATGAGGATGATAGTGATAGTACTGTCTGTACAAGTTATACTCGATATGAGACTTATTACTGTTCAGAAGAATAATT